TGGTTAGGGCCATTACCAGCTGCTTGCTGCGTCGGTTGTTGCCCCTGTTGTTGCCTCTTGTGACGAGCGGGCACTGAGACTTGATATGCCCCAGGACACCACATTTATGGCACTTATGGGTTGCGTAGGGGTTGATGGAAACATCAGGCCCGCCAGAGCTGGTACTCGCCCCGACGTTGACATTTCCCTGGCCTTTACCAGCTCCACCACGGTAGTCGCCACCGAAGCCACGGTGGCCTACCCCACTGCTCCGGCTGCTAAACGCCAGGGCCTCGGCCTGGGCCCACTCTGCGTTGTTGTCACCTTGCATCCGCTCCGCCAGGAGTAGAGCGGCCTTGATTTCCGAAAGCTTCATGTCGCTTGGCGGCTTGGCAGCAAAAAGCGTCTGCTGCATTTGGAATTTCTTATGCAAACCACCCAAGATAGCCAGGGCGAATTGGCAGTCGTCGGTCTTCGAGCCCACTGCAACCATTTGCTCGCGCAGATCCTCTGCTTCCTCGAAGTAATCAACAACGGACTGGCCTGTCCGTTGCTTCAGGTTGCTAAATTTCTGCTTTATGAACAAAATGTTCGCTCCGATCTCAGACACGCATTCGGCGCGGATCGCATCCCACGCTGCAGCAGAGTTGGCTGCTTGATCGATCAGCCTGTGAAAACGGGGCACCGTATATTTCACCAGCTGCGATTTTGCCTTCATGGACTTGTCGGCGACGGCGCTCGGCAGGTCTGCTGCCTCGTCCCACAAGTCCTTGCCGGCCAAACAGTACTTCATGGCCGTCCGCCAGCGAAAATAGTTGGCGTAGCTATCTAATCGCTCTACATCATTATCCTTCCCCATACTTGTCCTATCTCTAAGCCAGAGAGTTGCTAAGCCAGCAAGTTCGGACACAGTACTTAAGCAAAACGCTCGCTCGCTTGCCGCGGCGGCGCGGGGCTCATAACCTGTTAAGATATAGGCGAGTGGAACTGTGTAGGTAAAGCCAACCTTAACCGTTACAGGTATCACAGAACAAGCTTTCAGTCAGAACATCATCTCCTTTATACCAAACATTCCATCTTATCTGTCGTACAGCCGTTAGTGTTCTGGCCGGAAGTCAACAATTCGTACCTGTCATTCAGGGATAGTTCAAATGTATGAAGAAAGCAGTGAGTGCTGTGGTTCACAGCTGTGAACCTGCAGGTCATGTGCAACGGCGGTGCACTTTGCACATTGTACAGCTCGTGTACTGCTATTGTGAAGCTTTTGTATTGCACGGTTGGCCGTACAGTTCGCAGTCCCGCACGCAAGTCGCAGTCACTCGCGTAAAATTCAAATGGTAGCACATGCATTCGCAGGATTCGCAGTCGCGTATGCCATTCGCAATCCCTTGCGTTTGGCGATACGCTCGCGTTAAAAGTCACCTGGTCGCGTTTAGGGTAGCGTAAAACTCGCGAATTCATTCGCCACATTCGCATGTGCATACGCATTCGCACCATTCGCATGCGTATGCGTTACACCTGTAGCTAAGCTAACGCTCGCGTTAAAAGTCACCTGGTCGCGTTTAGGGTAGCGTAAAACTCGCGAATTCATTCGCCACATTCGCATGTGCATACGCATTCGCACCATTCGCATGCGTATGCGTTACACCTGTAGCTAAGCTAACGCTCGCGTTAAAAGTCACCTGGTCGCGTTTAGGGTCGCGTAAAACTCGCGATATCATTCGCCACATTCGCATATGCATACGCATTCGCACCAGTCGCAGCCGCGTATGCCATTCGCTTGCGTATGCGTTACACCTATAGGTAAGGTAACGCTCGCGTTAAAAGTCACCTGGTCGCGTTTACGATCGCGTAAAGTTTGCGTTAGTTTGCGTTAGTTGCTTAAGCTAACGCACTGCCAGCCAAAATTACTCAGCTCGTTCGCATGCGAATAAAGATGATGTGCGTTAGGCCATACGCACAAGCGAACCGGTGCGTTATCAGTGCTTAAGATCGCGTTACATCGCGTTAGCGTCGCGTTAAACTCGCGTTAAAGCCTCGTAACGCGAATTTAACGCGACATAACGCGACCACCCGTCGTCATAGTGGACCCGGGTTCAAATCCGCCTGCCAGCTCCTCGGGTGTTTGAGGAGTGATGAAATGGGAGGTGGCCCCCCATCATATGGACGGTGTAGGACGTGATAATATCAACTTGCGAGCTGACCAGGAACTAAGTTGATGCGCCGTTGATCCGCTAGATTTGGTTGGATGCTGGTGGTGAGTTGCCGAACCCAACGAATACATTCTGAAGTCGGATGGGGTGACGGATTAGGGTGCCCCTCTAGCAGGGGAGAGCAGGGACTGCCCCGGGAAAGGGGGCCGCTGGCGAAGTTAACCACCCTGTAACAACATACATGTATACATATATGTATGTCTGTATGTGTGTTCCAATGCACTGCTGCAGCTAATTGATGATATGTTGTGGTCATCTGGATTGGTGGATTGGTGGTTAAATCAGCGGAGCCTGGACCGCTTATCCTCGTTGATTGAAACCTTCCCCGGCCTCGCGGTGGTGCCTGGGCAGTATCATCACACGTTACTGCACATGTGAGGGGACAAGTTGGATGGCCTGCATGCGTGGGTTTCTTGACATAATGTATCTGCGCTAGCTTCTGTTTGCCTCATTGACCTGCTGTATCTGCTAACTGCATGGGCCAGGGTATTGATGTGCTGCCGTCGAATCGTTTTGCCCTGGTACTGAACCTGCGACGCCAAGTAGGACAGCAAGAAAGTAGTTAGGAGCAACAGTTGGAACGGTGTACAAATGCACACACACACACGCACGAGCTGAGCTGTGGTAGTAGATGTCGCACATACATAGATGTACACACCCCGTCTATAATTAGGCGCTGAAGTGCTCTGCCAGCATGTTGAGAGCCGTTTACAAGGTCAGGGATTTCATGTCCATCCTTCCAAAGTGAGTACAGGATCTCAGACTTCATGCCTTTACTCGTTTACACCTACTTACATCCATTCATACGCTGGGCACCCTTAACTTCACACATGCTTTTCGTTCTCGGTTTGGCGGGATGTGTGACCATACGTACCACAGCCTGGAAAGGACTTCCGAGATGGTCGCACTACTGACCGGCATCATCTAGGACGCGTCATCCAGAGGCATACCAAAGAACCCTAGTAGAAGTAAGATAGTACATTGAACTCATGATTGCACCGCCACCACGGTGGTATTGCGTCACCCATCACTGCATCTGGTGCTGTGACTGCCGCTGCATGTGCTTACACTGCGGTTGCCTTTCTTAATACTGCTGTTTCGTTTTGCTGGCTCTGCTGGAAGGGCGGCGACCAAAAGAATTACTGGGGCACGCTTCCTTGAGGTCCTGCTGAAAAAGGGTGCGGGGGTCATCAACTCGGCCCCTCTGCCTGCCAACGTTTACGGGTACACACCGCTGGACTGTGCGGGGTTTATGGGGGAGTGGGACACTGTGGAGCTGCTGCTGGCCAACGAGCTGTCAAGGGCTGCACCACTGCGGCTGGCAGTGATGAAGGTAGGTGATACTCTGGGTGTGGTGATGTTAGGTCCGGTATTTCCATTTTTGGAAAGTAAATGCACGTAATAATAACATTTCATTATTCATACTGCATGCGTGGACGATGCCAGTTGGGGTTATCGCAATGTTCATGACGACACGCACCTACGACCAGTAAGTAAGTCCATCCCTGCTGAAAGGCGGGTAGGGCAGATAACGGACCCACTGATCCATCCATCCATCCATTCATCCAGTGCTACAAGGTCCCACACATTTCGCGATGTATGTGGCTGAAGTGAGAACAATTTGATGACGGCATGCATGCCTGGTGCTCAGCATAAATATGTACAGATTATTGGATCAATGAGTTCATGATGACTATGCTTGCTTGCTCACCAGCTAATGATAAAAACCGACGGACAGATGGACGGACAGACAGGTGTGACCCCGGAGTGCTCGGCCATTAAAGGCTGTTCGCTATAGCAAGGGGCACCTGTCGCCCATTATGGGCTACCACATTCTGATGTAACTAACTATCTAGGGAAATAGTGGCATGCTACCTACCTGGACCCCATACATAGACCCACACCTCATCACACGCCATGCATCACACGCTGACGTGCATATGTGTAAGAAGGGATCAGCTCCCCTTGGCATCTCCCACGAGTACTCTTTGTCTTGTCTTACATTGATGCGAATTGCTGGGAGGTGGGAACTCCTTGGATCGTATCGGGCTAAGAACATTTAGACTACAGACACGATGCGGCACCCTCCTTGCCCAATGGTGGATGCCCTGTTGGGCGACAAAATTAAAAAAGTCTGGATAAATAGAAGACCTCCATCTCGGACTATGTTATAAATCCCATGGGATCTGCCCAGGGGCGCCCGAAGATGTTCGCTCATGGTGTAGCAGCCGGTACACAGTATGGTGCTATATATACTGCAGAGTGCGACCACCAGCAACTCGAGAGACCTTTTCAGCGGTCAGCTGCTACACGTGGGGAGGAGGACTGTAAGAAGGGGTCAGCTCCCCTTGGCATCTCCCACGAGTACTCTTTGTCTGGTCTTACAATATGCATATGCAGGCATGGAAGAACCTGGCGTCGAAGGCGCCTGCCTTGCTGGTGAAGTTCTTGGATCTCGTTGGTATTCAGTGGCTCACCAACGTACTTGAGGTGATGCCAAATAAAAACCTCGTGGTGGAAGGATCACTGGTAGGTTGGCGGGTGCGTGCTGGCTGGTGATGAACGTACATGCATATATGTGATGAGCTGATGACGAGGTGGGATATGAAATGTTTGTGTCTCATTCATAAAATGATGCATGTAGGTGCCGACTCAATCTAGATCTTGCATGTGTATTTCCTTTACATCAGAGCACCTTGATGACTCGTAATGGGGGCAGCAGCAGAAGTGCGTAGCTACAACGTCGTGCTGAGCAATAATCAATTAACCTCGCCGCAGCCAAGTATGCTTATTAGCGAGGTCTGTTTTGAATTGTCTGGTCAGCTGCTGTGTCCGCTAGGGGTCTACGGCATGGTAGGTATGTAGCATAATAACCGACGGATTGGCAAAGAAGTAAGGTACACCTGAGCAGCTGGATGCTGACGCTGCACTGAAAGTTATTAGGATATTTGGGAGGACGGAAATGGTCTGTTGAGGTTGGGGGCGAGGGGATGGTCAGAGAGACATGTCATTAGTGTTTGTGGTGTTTGCTGTGTGCTGTGTTTTATGTGCCGTGTGTTGTGTGTTGTGTGTGTATGTCTAAGATGTTACAGGGTGGTTAAGCTTCACCAGTGGCCTCCTTCCCGAGGCATTTCCCTGCTCTCCCCTGCTAGACGGGCACCCTAATCCATTCACCTCATCCGACTAAAGAGTGTACTCTTTGGGTCTGGCAACTCACCACCGGCATCCAACCCAATCTAGCGGATCAACGGCGCCTCAACTCAGTTCCTGGTCAGCTCGCAAGTTGATTTTATCACATCCTACACCGTCCAGAAGATGGGGGACCACCTCCCATCTCAACTCTCAAACACCCGAGAGGTCGGCAGGCGGATATGAATCCGGACACTCCGGGAGCAGAAGTCAGGCCTTAACCTCTGCCAGCCACCTACCTGTATGTCGATGTCTATATGTATGTGAGAGAGTATGTGTGTGTGAGAATGTGTGTGAGGGTTATGCCTCGAGTTGCATTATTACCCTGCATATGCATAATGCAGAGTAGGCGAGATGCACTGCTGTGTACGATATGGTATAGCTATACGGCATAGTTACCCTATGACATCACTTGGGCGATGTGTGGCTGCTTGGCTGCTTGGCTGGTACATATATGTCCATGTTTGTGTATTTCCAGATGGACCCAACGGCCGAGACCAGGACAGTGGTGAACAGGCTGACTAGGAAGTGGCGTCGGATGGGGTTCGATGAGAATCCGGCGAGCACATCCTGTTTGTGGTTGGTGAACTTGCGGTGAGTTGCGGGTGTATCTATCTCTTGTCTGGTCTTACAGTATCTATTCATGTATTTCTAGGTCGTGGGGATTCGTGTCTCGGCCGTCCTGCAGGCTGATAATAATCCTCCTTCCGTAAGGAAGCTCAGGAAAGAAAACTGCGGGGCTGAAGCCCTGGTGTGTGGCAATGTAGGGGCTGGCAATGTAGGACTGATATTTCCCCTACCTTAGCCACCAGTATTTTGATGTCGTAGCAGATCTCCGCCTGCGGTTGCCGATGAGCATTGCCAGCAGTCTATCCAAGCTGCTGCACTCCCCAGGCAAATGTGCCCAGACCCGGATTGCAGGAAGCTAAGCATACACATGCAGCAGTAACGTCTCCCGCCCATTCCTCCCTAATCCAGTACCTGTTACCTTCCTTTCATGCATTTCCATGATCTAATCATCATGGTGACGACAGGAGTTTCCTGACCCGCATCATTCGCAAGCCTTGGGAGTACTGTTCACACAAGCTTGGTTTCTGTGCATTGCCGTACGTGGCGCGGATGACGCGATCCGTGAACGACTCTCCATTGGGCGCGCTGCTAGCCAACCATGTCTATGACGCCTTCTCAACCGACGCAATTGTTGCGGTGATCACATACAAATGGGACATGTACGCTGGTAAGCCGCCTGACGGTCCCTACATACATACATGTAGCTAGGGTTTGGCACCACTGGTAAGGCGCAACCATTGCCCCCGGGAGATACCGAGATCGATACCCGTTAGGATCAAAGTCCTTCCGATGGTGGAAGGCATTGCGTCCATAGTTGATGGACGGTGGTACCTGGGATAAAGTTAAACTGCGAGCCGACCAGGAATGGAGTTGGGCCGCTGTCGACCCGGCAGATTCCGTTGGATGGTGGTGGTGGGTGCGGAAACTGAGCAATCCTCTGAGAAGTTGACTAGGGTGACTGGATGAGGGTGCCCCGAAATACCGGGGAAGGCAGGGTGGTCTATGGCGAAGTCCTGCAGGTAGCTTGAATGCTGACTAGACGGCACACGAACGGGCAAGTCGTAATACACAGCAAATAGCAACCCGCGAAAGGGGCCAAGATTCCCTCCAGGCAATCAATCAACAGCGATAAAGATTTACCTTACCGACTGAGTATGCCCGGCGTGAAGGATATGGGCGTTGAGCGGCCCACACAGGAGTTCGGCTGGTTAAGGGACGTTACTTATGCGGCTTGAAAGAAGGGAGGACCGCACAGGGCTTGTTGTCTAGCTCAGAGAACTTTACAATGTTCTGATCATGAGCCGTAAAGCGACTTTTCCAAGCTCGCTACCGGCTATAAATACCGAAGTCACGCTGTCGATCACAGGAGGCCCTCAAAGATAAGCCTCGAGTACGACCACGACGTATAGTTCACAAATGACACAAGTGAAACACCTTGTAACCCGTGTGACAGAACATTCACACAAGAAATGAACAATTCACAAGTAAAATACATGAATATACGCAAACGAGCGTACATTCGCATCTCGTCCATAAGTCGATCAGCGAAGTGTAAGATAAGAACCAAACACCCTACACGATAATACACGAAATTCGCGTAGTCACATCGATTATAACCTAAGACGATTATAAAAGACGGTAAAATGAACGTGACGCTAAAATGTCGTGACAGCTGTCGCGTCATATGACTGTAGCACCGAACATAACACGTGCGTACGGCAGACTCCCCCCCCCAGCGGGCGAAGCCGAGATGGTGAATGCCCGTGGAAAAATCCATGTACGCACCTTCAAAGCAAGTGCTCAGCTAAACTGCTATCCTTCAAAATCACACGCTTGATAGCCGGATTCGTGAACACAATCAGCCAGATAAAAGACTGGTACTCAGACTCAACGGTAGGACAACCCAACATCAACAAACGATCCTTATCCTGCAGCCTGCGCAACCACTTCATGCGCGCTTCATCAGCACCCGATATGTGATCAACCGGAACTCTAGCGACCACAAAGCCCTTAACAGACTTAATCGCTGCTGGAATTGCCAAATCTAACAACGCGCCAGTGATTGACAACACTGCTGCATCTACTGATGTAAACTGCTTATCTACGCCGTCGTAAAACTGAGGCGACAAGGGATCACTAAATTTTACCGGTTTCCCTTTTAAGACGCGCGCGCCAGAAGACAACAAAGCGACACGCAAAGGATTTGAAACCTCGTAAGGCAGAATTACGTTATTAACTAAGCTCCAACGCAACGCTCCTCGCAACACGTCGACATGCGGCTGCGGTACGGACGGAAGTTGAAGACGTTGCTCGAATAATTGATTGGTAACCAAAGCAATTTTGAATACTGAGTGGTCTCCCGCCATAGCCAGATCCAGCTCCACCGGAACGTCCGCGGCTGAATCCAAACTCCAGTGCTCCAGCCTCGATGCGGCTGCTGCAACCGCCGCTGCTCCCACCGCTCGCCTTGGGCGGGCAGACTTAGGTGCCAGCATATTGCGCAGCTGCACAACATCCACCAGCTCCAATTCGCCGTCCTGATAAAGCACCTCGAAGAAATGCTTCCTGCCTCGTCTACCGGCATAGGCCCTATGGCAGTCCGGAGACGTGTAACTCGTCAGGCTCGGTAGCTACGGGGCAGTTGTCTGGACAGGTTACTCGCCAGCTAGAAGCTTGATAAATGTGCAACCTTGAAAGTGTCATAATTACGCACAGATATGCGCGCTGAGTGTGTGAAATGTTATGACGAGGTTAGTTAACATGTTTGCCATCAAATATGAGTGTAGGGAGGCATTATTTGTCCTTACGATTTGCTCTCTACCTACGGCCATTTGGCAGTCCAGAGACGTGTAGCGCCCAAGGCTCAGCAGCTACGGGACGGTTGTCTGGACGAGGTTACTTTTGACGTGCAGCCCCGAAAGCACATTGGGAAGCATGAATATAGCCGGTGAACTTATCATAAGTGAAATTTAGGTTACTTAGGGTGTTTGCCACTTGCTTTGATGCTCCGATGTAACATGACCATTGGTAGTCATGGTCATGGCCCAAATGAACGCCGATTGTTCCAGCACAAAGTAGAATATAGTTGATGAACAAATAAGTACATAGGCAAGGTTAGCCGAGGCCGACGTCGATCGACCTGGTCGACCAGGTCCGCCAATGTAGTGGGTCCATGCCACAATATCCGAAAATCGGCTGAAATCATTTAAAACCTTGTCAGGTTTACTGAACAAAATTACGACCGACGAGGTTTCCATGCAATTGGCTGACATAACCGCTCATGTACGGCTTTGGCTATTATGGCTTCAATGTCCAATGTCCCAATGTAGGCAGGTAGTGGTGGGCCACATCTGCGCCACGGTTGTGTGTTTCGTTGTGGAATCGTTACCCGTTGCCCTCTTTCTTGTTCCTGATGCTATGGAGGGTGGCTGGGGCTGGTTAGGGGAGGGGGGCGTGTATGTTTCGCCTCCGCCATTGACGTGCCTGCCCTAATTGTCATGTTCCCATCCATGTGCTGCACGTGCAGCAGGCCTCGGAAGATGGGGCCGACGTCCAGCCGGGAATGGAGGTAAGATGGGGGCGAGGGTCGGGGCTCTTATGTGTTTTACATGGGCCATCAAAATGCTGTCGTACTCCGATATGGCTATCGGAGTACGGCAGATTTGTTTGATGTAGGCAGGTAGTGGTGGGCCACATCTGTGACACGGTTGTGTGTTTCGTTGTGGAATCGTTACCCGTTGCCCTCTTTCTTGTTCCTGATGCTATGGAGGGTGGCTGGGGCTGGTTGGGGGAGGGGGGCGTGTATGTTTCGCCTCCGCCATTGACGTGCCTGCCCTAATTGTCATGTTCCCATCCATGTGCTGCACGTGCAGCAGGCCTCGGAAGATGGGGCCAACGTCCAGCCGGGAATGGAGGTAAGATGGGGGCGAGGGTCGGGGCTCTTATGTGTTTTACATGGGGCATCAAGACGCTGTCGTACTCCGATATGGCTATCGGAGTACGGCAGATTTGTTTGATGTAGGCAGGTAGTGGTGGGCCACATCTGTGCCACGGTTGTGTGTTTCGTTGTGGAATCGTTACCCGTTGCCCTCTTTCTTGTTCCTGATGCTAATTGTCATGTTCCCATCCATGTGCTGCACGTGCAGCAGGCCTCGGAAGATGGGGCCGACGTCCAGCCGGGAATGGAGGTAAGATGGGGGCGAGGGTCGGGGCTCTTATGTGTTTTACGTGGGGCATCAAAACGCTGTCGTACTCCGATATGGCTATCGGAGTACGGCAGATTTGTTTGATGTAGGCAGGTAGTGGTGGGCCACATCTGTGCCACGGTTGTGTGTTTCGTTGTGGAATCGTTACCCGTTGCCCTCTTTCTTGTTCCTGATGCTATGGAGGGTGGCTGGGGCTGGTTGGGGGAGGGGGGCGTGTATGTTTCGCCTCCGCCATTGACGTGCCTGCCCTAATTGTCATGTTCCCATCCATGTGCTGCACGTGCAGCAGGCCTCGGAAGATGGGGCCAACATCCAGCCGGGAATGGAGGTAAGATGGGGGCGAGGGTCGGGGCTCTTATGTGTTTTACGTGGGGCATCAAGACGCTGTCGTACTCCGATATGGCTATCGGAGTACGGCAGATTTGTTTGATGTAGGCAGGTAGTGGTGGGCCACATCTGTGACACGGTTGTGTGTTTCGTTGTGGATTCGTTACCCGTTGCCCTCTTTCTTGTTCCTGATGCTAATTGTCATGTTCCCATCCATGTGCTGCACGTGCAGCAGGCCTCGGAAGATGGGGCCGACGTCCAGCCGGGAATGGAGGTAAGATGGGGGCGAGGGTCGGGGCTCTTATGTGTTTTACGTGGGGCATCAAGACGCTGTCGTACTCCGATATGGCTATCGGAGTACGGCAGACTTGTTTGATGTAGGCAGGTAGTGGTGGGCCACATCTGTGCCACGGTTGTGTGTTTCGTTGTGGAATCGTTACCCGTTGCCCTCTTTCTTGTTCCTGATGCTATGGAGGGTGGCTGGGGCTGGTTGGGGGAGGGGGGCGTGTATGTTTCGCCTCCGCCATTGACGTGCCTGCCCTAATTGTCATGTTCCCATCCATGTGCTGCACGTGCAGCAGGCCTCGGAAGATGGGGCCAACATCCAGCCGGGAATGGAGGTAAGATGGGGGCGAGGGTCGGGGCCCTTATGTGTTTTACGTGGGGCATCAAGACGCTGTCGTACTCCGATATGGCTATCGGAGTACGGCAGATTTGTTTGATGTAGGCAGGTAGTGGTGGGCCACATCTGTGACACGGTTGTGTGTTTCGTTGTGGATTCGTTACCCGTTGCCCTCTTTCTTGTTCCTGATGCTAATTGTCATGTTCCCATCCATGTGCTGCACGTGCAGCAGGCCTCGGAAGATGGGGC